GACTTGTTTGTGAGGGTTGGGGGGAGTAACATTAACTAAGAAAAGAAAATGAACAAATGGTGGGTGAAGGAGGAGAGATAGTTGCAGACTGACAAGTATGTTTGATTTTTTTCACCCTATTTGTACGAAACTTGGGACAATGAAAGCCAAGTTTTATATATGTTTATACAAAAGAAATTTTGAAACTTGGTATTTATCAAACTGATTTTTAATTTATAGTATCTTGGCAGATATATTTAAAAGTATAATATTATGGTAAATAAAATTTTTGTTATAACATGATGGTTAATTTGTTAGGATAATTCCAAGTTCCTACATTGGAATACATTGTATTTGGCCGTTTGTTGCCAAATTTGCTGCGCGCGCGCGCATACACACACACACATGATATTTGGAGGGAATGCATGTCATAATCACTTTAATGGTCTGCTTGTTTGATTGCCTAATAGGCGAAAATGGGAATAAAAGAAAATGAGATAAGAAAATAGGAAGAAAGAAAAAGGTGGAGTGGCATGATTTTTTCTTGCTGCACCTTGACTAATAGACTGATAGGCGAAAATGAGAATGAAAGAAAATACTCTCTCTATTCAAAAATATAAAATATTTTTTAAAAAGTTAGATATTTAAAAATATAAAATATTTTTAATCTTTTGAAGTGTAATTATTACTTTTTTTTCAAAAGTACTCTTGTTAATAATAACTTTATATTTATTATAAGATATTTAATAAAGGTAAATGTAAAAAGATAGGATTAATTAGAAAGCAAGTAACTTTATTAAAAGTAAAATTTAATTAAAAATATTATATATTTTTAAATGAAGGGAGTAAGAGAAGAAAAAATAGGAAGAGAGAAGAAGGTGGAGCAATACGTTTTTTTTTTGTTGTACTTGACTGACTGCAAAAAATAAAAAAAGAGTAAAATTTTTTTTTAATTTTATATAAATAATAACTTTATTATTTGTGAAAAATATATATATAAAAACTTAATATTTTAACATATTATTTAAATAATTTCTGTCATATATTATTGATCGAATAAAAACGGGTATCTGACATTGGCAAAAAAAATATTTTATCCAATTTTCAATTTTATTTTTAAATTATTAAATATACAATCATAAAAAAATTAAATTACAACCAAACATAAGGCATTGAAGAAAAATTAACCTGAAAATTCAAAATTAGCATTTATCTAACTACATTAAAATTAGCATTTAGAATTAGCAAAAGGTGGGAAAGAAAAAAATTTGTGGGTAAATTTGAAAATGAACTTTTTTCCCCAAAATCTTCCCACTTTTGGAAAAAAAATTGAAGGAAAAAAAATATATGAATCTCATGTGTTATTTTTCTCTCAAATTTTCTTTGCTTATCATTTTTTTCTCGTTAACTAAGTAGGGAAAGATATAGTTTTCCCTCACTTTTATCTTCTCTTTACTTTTTTCTCCAACCAAGCATAGTGTAACAGCTTCAGGGAAAACTAAATATTTTAATTGATTTTGGATTGAGTGAAAAATTAAAAAAAAAACCTCTATTACTCTTATGTGTATTTTTTTTGACTGAAAACTAAAGTTCATTCAAGAACTTAAAAACAGAGAACAAGAAACAAAACAAACAAAGAAGACAGGGAGCAATCAATCATCGTTAACTTTCTATCCTAAAATAAGGTGAAGAATGATTAAAGATACAAAAATTTAATAGACAAAGACAATTTTCTAAAAGATAAATTACAAGTGTTTTGTATAATGTTTCCTTTTAACTTTTAAAAACAGTATAACCTAACATCTGTTGTAAACAAATAATAACTTTAACTGTTACTTAATTAAAAAATAATAAAAAAATGATCAAAAAAACTTGTTCATCATTTTCTACAATTTTTTGGGTCCTTATCGATAAATTTTGGGTTTTTTTGTATTCTTGAGTTCCTTTTATATTTTCTAATCAATTAAAGTTTGAAATTAATTTTTATTAACAGTAGATGTTAGATTATACTACTTTTAAAAGTTAAATAAAAATATTACATAAAAGATGAGTTTAAAGTCTTACACAGTTCTAAATTTATAATTTAAGGTTTAATTTATTTATTTATCCTTGAATATTAGTGCTTTTTTTGGAATTTTAGTATCAAATTTTTTTCTGTCATTTACTGAAACTTTGCATCTTTTTTCAAACTGTTATCCTTGTATTATTATTGGGAGAATGACAATAAAGTTCTTCAAAGAGAAATTAATAACAATTAAGTCTTAGAAAAAAATTTAAAAAATAAATTATAAATATTGATTCAGATGGTCATAAAAAAGAAGTCTAAATATAGATTGAGAGTTAAATATCTTATTTATAATTAAAGTTTTTGAATTTGTAATTATTTAAATTGATATTTACAATTTATTTTTTAAAAAAATTATCAAAGACTTTACTGTTTTTTTTTCTTTTATTATTTGTTCGTGCAATGCAAGTACCTTTGAATTATTCATGTCTTCCAGTATAAAGATAACTTCCTACATATTGACACAAGATGGACTTTCAACTTTATGTATATAAATATATTTAATGTCTAACTATTCCTTAAATAATATTATTTTTAATAAAAGAATACTTGTATCCAATTTAAAAAAAAAAGTAAGACAATGTCACTGAGTTGCCAGCAATAACTTATTTCTTTGTCCAATTTTCTTTAGCCGCTGAAAACTTTTTTATGTTTTCGTAGCAAAACCTCATAACCCGACATTCACAAATCACAACTAAGGCTATGAGAATTCACGATCTTATCAAATTCTTTTTTTTTTTTTTTTTGCCAGATCTTATGAAATTCAAACCACTTCTGCTTGCGGCTTCTCTTTGAAAAATCCCACTGCTGGAGCCGAGAATAAAAACTTGACCTAATGGGTCAGCCTTAGAGGTTATATTTAAATAAGAATTTATGTTTTAAAAATTAATTCTTTTTAAAGTAATCAAGTTTGAGATCTGGTCCTAATAAGTCTTGTGAGAAAGGACTCAAGTCTAGGTGGCCCTTCAAGTCCTGATAAGTTGAGTTATCTCACGCGCGCGCGCACATGATTGATAATGATACAATTTGGTTAATATTTATTGTAGGTAATGAAGAAGAAGTTGCAGAGCTAATTGACATTAAATCTCTACCTTTATCTTCAACAAGTGAACTTACATTTGAAGGATCTAATATTTTATTTTTAAATGATGAGGAGAAGGATTTAAATTTACATTGATAAAGATTTTAATCTTCATCTTAAATTTAAAATTTTAAATCTTTATTAAATTTTATGTTGAATTTTATGTGAAATTTTAATTTATTTTACGTTAAATTTTAAAATATTTGTTTAAATTAAAATATTAAATTTTTTTGACAGAGAGGGTTTAAGGGTTTGGCCTTGAGCTCTATAAATAAGGACCGAGCTTCAAAATTAGATCAACTTTTAAGTAGTCAAGCTTTAGGACCTGAGCCCTTAAGAACTGGATTCACCCTGATTCCTACCTCTACTCACTTGCTACATTTTTGTTGTTGTTGCAACTCCTCTTTTTTTTTTTTTTATCCAAACCTCATTGCTACTATTGACCTAAAAAACCTCACTGTTACTATACAAAGGCTTAGCATTAATGTACCAAAAACCAAAGAAGGATAGTATTAGCCACTTTCACTGCAAAGGGCCCAAACTAATGCCTCTAGCCCAATACCCCTTGGCCCAACTTTCCTTTTAATTAGAGCTGTCAATTACGGCTAACCCAGCCCTAAAGGGCCGGCCCTTGAAGGGCCAGGGCCTAAATAGGCTGACCCTAATAAGCCCGATTATATGTCAGGGTTTTATTTTTTAAAGCTCGACCCTAGCCCTCAGGGCTTCGGCCCTATTTTTTAAAATTATTTTTTCAATTAAAAATTATAAAAAATATATTTATAATCATAAAAAAAGTTATTATTCATAAAATTAAGTTTAAGAAAATAAATTTAAATCAATTTACACCACAACAATAAAGAAAACTAAAACATTTAGGTCTAATATCAAATAGCAACATTAAAGTGAATACCAATAAAAATTAAACTTGGTTAATATTATCAGCTAAATTTTAATAAATAAATGAGGGATGGATGAATGCATTTAATATGTTCATTTCTTTGAGTTATGTATTTAATTTTTTATTTTTTTATATTATAATTTTTAAATAAATTATAAAGGGGCCTAAAAGGGCCGGCCATTTTAGGTCCGATTTACTTTTTTAAAGGTAAAATAGAAGCTTGGCCCTCAATTTTTTCGTGCCTAAAAGGGCCGGCCCTACAAGCTCGGCCCTAATTGACGGCTCTACTTCTAATACAATCATGTTATTGTTACATTCGATTTTATGCTCTTCTTCTCTATTATTCATTTTGTCTCCAACATGCTATAAAGACTCCTAATTTCGGCCAATAAAAAGAAATAAAATAGAATAGATTAAAGAAATAAAGAGAAAAATTGAATGATTAAGATGTGGATGCAGGATTTTGTTTAAAAAAAAGAAAAGAAATGGAGGGGAGATAAGTCAATTAAGTTTATAGGAGAGAAGTGTAATTTAATTCATGAAATTGAAAGTAATAAATCTTGAGATTTTGTGAAAGGTGTAGTGATTTTTACATTTATGTTTTGTGGTGTAGAGTTTTATCATGTTTACTATAAGTGATAAAATAATTTATTTTATTTGTGTTCTTATTTATTTAATCTATTTCATTCTCATTCTTTTTTAAAAACAAACAATTCCTTAGATTTTGTTTAGAATAAGAAGAAAATTAAGAAAGAAAATTAGAGAACAAAAACATTTCAAACCATCCCCCCTAAGGATTTTTTTTTCCAAAGAAAAAAAAATTTATGTTAAGGAAGAAAAATATCTTTTTCTTTTACTTTTTTGTCATACTTGTCTCTCCTTTATTTTCTTTCCATTCCAAACATTAGGGTGAGGCATGAATTTAGAAGAGACTTCACTTTCTTATGGATGAAGCATCCATTTTCAAGATCACAACAAGCCACAAGCTAAATGGATAACTTTTTCCATTAAAAAAAAGATACTAAAAAACATCTAAGTCCAAAGTTATGAAAGCTTATTCAAAATGAACTATTTCATCCTCAAAAGAGATCCTCCCATGTGATCTATGAATCCAAAATAATGGGATCATTGAGAACTATGTCTCTAATGTTGAGAACCTCATCAGGCATCTCCTTTGCATGAATCACGTCTTCGTTCTTGTAAATCAAGTGAAGTGATCTGCACATTTTCCAATACACATCTCTCACTTCTCTTGAAAGCATGCTTCCTTCTTTCTTCAACACTATTCTCAACAGCTCCTTTCTCTTCTCCTCAATCTTTCTCTTCATCTTCTCTATCACCTCTTCTTCACTTTCTTCCCCACATCCATGAATCATCCTCAAGCTTATTGAGTTCAAAAATTTCCCTTGTTCTTTTTCCCTCTGCACAAAACACACACAACCTTATTCCTTTCTTGTTTTATGAAAAATCATTCAAGAGGAAGGAAAAGAGTCCAAACTCATCACCTGGTAGCCATTGACATCATTGAGGTATCGCCCATAGAGACTCACAACCTTAAAGAGGTTGTTCGATTCATCACTTTTAATGATATCTTGTGAAATCTTGGGTCCAACAAGATACATCACTGGGAAGAGAATTGGTCCCAAGGCCATTGATGTGATTCCATTATGCTCATACTCTTCTATGCTTGGCACGTACTTGCTTCTAAACCATTCTGCTTCCTTCAATTGAGACCTCATCAAATCACCCACTATGAGCAATAAAATGTTGACATTCATGTGACTAGTCAAAAAAATATGGAGATAAATATTTTGAAGACTGAGATGATGTAAATACTGACTTACAATTTGAATAAAGTGGTTTAGCACTTCACGCCCTTGAACCTTAAATGCTTGGATTGCACTCTCATAGATTGTTTTCTTCAATGCTAAGAATAATATCTTCACTGTCTCAGAATAGCTTTCTTTGTCCACATCTACATCCCACCTGTGGTTCAATGTTCAGAAAAAATAATCTCATCATATTAATGCAAAATGAAAAGTATGTGCATGGTGGGTTCATTGTGAATGCGCATACTTCTCCATTAACTGAATAAGGTTGATTTGTTCATCTTCCGAGCTCCAAACATCATAGAAATCATCAACCACACATGTGAGCAAGCCCTGCATTGCCCATGTTAGACGAGCTTCACGATGTTCAGGGGAGGTTAGTGTTGCTGCTACTGTCAAGAAGGAATAAGCAGCTTTTGTTTTTGATATTGGAAAATGCAGTTTTTCCAGGCCACTTTCTGTAAACCACCTGATTATTATGATGTACTAATTAATTAGTAATTATTCTTGAACTACTTGGTTAAAACTAATAATAGGACAATGCTCAAATTGAATGTTCTTAAGCAAACTCAAAAACACACTCATATTTTCAGTATATAATCATCTTAGGGTTCTTGAAAAGATATTCACCTGTTAAATAGATCAAGTTCTTCACGAAATATCAATTGGTTGTGATTGAAATGTTCCACTCCTAGTGTCAAAAATTCTTTATTTGCAAGGTTGAAGAACTGATCAAGAAGAGAATAAAATATGAAATGACTAATCTATATGTGTAACTCAAGAAGCCCACATATATGTGTTTGGCATATTAAAAAAATAGAGTAGGTTGTGAAGGTGTACCTATATGAAGACTTTAAAATTCTCTTTTGATCCACATTGTAATGCTCTATAGATGTTCGATTTAATATGAAATCTAAATAAGCATGATGAGGAAAATGCAGGCGAAAGGCACCTGAAATTAATATAAAATGATGTTAGAGGTTTTCAAATGTAGTATACATGGAAGAAACATTAGAATGCAGAAAAGTTGAGAAAAATAATGAAATTGTGGGATTGTACCTCATGGTTGATATGATAAGAAGGTTTGTGAGCATTTTTTGAGGAAGTAGACAAATATTCCTTGAGAAAGTATCCTGTCCAGGAATTTAGTTCCTCTAAAACTAAATCATTTGAATGTGTGACGATTTGTGAAGCCTTATGTAACTCCAAAACAGACTTAACGTCCTTCAAATAACCTTGAAGAGTACTACAAAATTTGTGTTCTGAAAATTGATCAAGTGCATCTGACACAAAAAAATGATCAAATTTAATTATTTTTCTTCTGTCCCTTTTAACATATTTAAAGTTAAACAAGACACAAAACCTGAAGAAACATTATATCCATGCAAACGTAGTAAACGAAATGCCATGGCACATGTAGTGGGTTCTAACACTAAGTTATCTTCTTCCCTTTGCCACATTCTGTTTTCAAAACCAGACAAAGACATAGATTAGATTATGTAGCCATCTTGCCTTGCTTCACACAATACAACTATATTCATAGAGCAAAAAAGGATACTCAAAATTAATTACCTCCAAGTTTCATCTAATGCACTTCCAATTTCCTCCTTAAAATGGTGATTAATGCCAAGTTTTTCAAGACTATCAACCATATGTAGTCGAGCATACATATCAAGAGGATGTATTGTTGGAACTGAACAAATTATATGTGCAAAACAAGCATTAATGTGACGCCTAATTCAATAATGTGATGTAGATGAAAATAAGTCTTTCAAATTAAATTTTGAAAAGAAAAATTACCAGCATTCCCAAATTTATTTAAGAGTGAAAATATAAAATCAAGGCAATGAGCATTATTAATATGAGTAAATGTTGCTGCAGTGGCAGCGGGAGAGTTGAAAAGAGAGCCATTATTTCTCTGAAATTTTAGAGCCATTTCCCAATTTTGTGACTTCCCAAGTCCTTCTGAAATGTATGCCATATATGCTTTCCATCCTTCTGACTTGCTTCCCCAGCCACTGTACTTACAATAAATGAAAGAGCTCAGGTATATACTTTCTTTCAGAGTATTCTTCAATTTGATAGTTTGAGTCTTTATGCATTGTGAATAGAAGAGTATATGGGTGCTTTGACCTTTTTTTAAACAGATTATGATTTTAAGTTTGTAATTGATTTTAACATGTATTTTTACAAAATCATAGCTTTAACCTCTAAAATTGATTATTAATATTATCCAAACAGGCACAAGGCTTGCGCATTATGCCATTAACAACCAACATAAAACTCTACTAAATCTCTATGACATGCTTGTTCACAAAATTTTGAGGGGCAAGGTTACCTTTGGAGTTCAAATGCTCTCTTTTGGATGAATGTCTCTAAACTTTTCCCTTCAAGTGGAAGATTCAAACCCAAATTTTGGGCATACTCAATTAAATGAGAAAAGATGATATCAAATCCGATTGGAGAATGTTGTTTGTCATCATAAGCTGCAGCAATGTTTGATCCTATATATCCAAGTCCTTCAACACCATAAAAGATCATCCAATTATTTGATCATATATGCATATAGTTGGTTTAAATTTAAAAGACTTCAATATCAAATGGTGCATGCATTTAAATACAAGCAATTTTTTATAGGGTTAGACTATTTTTTCTGTAAACTTTTTTTAAGAACATTAAGCATTCCTGTATTAAAAGGTGGGTTAATATTCCTCCTAAACAATTTTTTTCAAGAGCAAAATTGTTCTTCCATTAAAGACCCATCATCTTCTTCGTTATATACTAACATAGAATAATTATGGGCTACACACAATGATAGCAATGCATTTTGACTCTTTTTATGGCTAAAACCAATTCACTACCATTACAACTAGCAGCTCCTTTAGCCCTTGTTTGATAGTCAAAATGGGCAAGAATGTTTTGCTATCATTATGAATGGACTCCACAACTTATTATACATCAACAAATAATAGAGAAAATAATAGGTCTCTAACGGAAGGGCAATTTGGCAATTAAAAATATTATTTAGGGGCAATAATGTCATACCATTTAGTAAAGATACCCAATGCTTTTAAAAAAATTTGGAAGAAAAATTATCCTTAAACTTTACACACACACACACATGAATACATGAATACCTCTATTAGTTTGTTGTTCGCCAACACCCCATTGCTTAAGTGCAACAACACAAGCTAAGGTTGATAAAAGAGAGTCTTTGGTTAATAACTTATTATGATAAGGAAGACCCCACGATCCATCTGTGTGTTGATTTTCTAATAACCAGTTCAAGGACTGAGGGAACAAAGGAGTTTGTGGAGTAGAAGGTGATGATATCATTGCCACCCAAGCTGTGTCATAACTTGATATAGATAATTCAATCTTATCAAACATTTTCTTTATTCTCTCCTTATTCTCTTCGAATACCTGCATTTAATACAATTCATCATCTTATTGTGATTATTAGTATTAGAATTAAGAAAATTAAATTGGCATATATTGGAATCTGGTGTACAGATATAAAAGAAAAGGAGGGATGATTTGTTACATTGTCAGGTCTGCTCTGAACTTTGCTCTTGGCAATGGATCCGTCAAGATTTACTGAAAGTATAAATGAAGACGATAAGTTTCCATAGTGTTGTAAAATTTGTAGACACATATGCATGTACAGTACAGTCTTCACGTGTTGAAGATCAATTTACTTTAATCAAAATTGTGCACAAATAGAAACAGAGCAGTCAACATGCTGATGATAATTGATGGCAAAGGAAAGCAGAATATTAACATATAAAAACAGAAAATAATTAAAAATAATGTTATTCCCGTATATTAATATGGTAAACCTATTTTTCCCTTAATTAAGAAACTACATGATATTGCTTAAATTGTTGATTTAGTTTTTAAACTTTTTTTTATTTGTAGTCTCTTAACAAAAAAGGTTCAATGATGAAATCAACAATTGAGATAAAGATTAGCGACCAAAAAATTAGACGGAAAATTAATTTGCAGGTCCTCCTATATTTTCTCAATTTTAAATTAGATCCCTGTAATTTTGTTTTGTTTTAACTAGGTTATCATAGTTTAATTGATTAAATATGTTAATCCCTAGAAGTTAAAATATAAAAATTTTGTTATATCAAATTTTCATTTTACTTTTTTTTTGGCTAAAAATATTAAATCAATTTTTCTAGAAATTTTAAAAGTGTTCTTGTTTTTGGAAAAGTTGATTGTTCATTAATAATTTTAATCTTCAGTGACTAGTATATTTAATCAACTAAACTATGAGAGTTTGATTAGAACAAAATAAATTATAGGGATATAATTTAAAATTGAAGAAAACTAGAAGGACTGCAAATTAATTTTCCCAAAATTATATTATCCCGTTAATGGAAAAACTGCCTGATATCTTTAATAAAATAATGTGTTTCACAACAACCGAAAATATTAGAAGAAAGTTTACTAGAAAACTAATTAATTACGTTCCCATTTTAATAGCAAGCACATAATGGACATTCTCGTATAAGTTTGGTATTGATTGAGCCCAAAAATGCTTGATATTGATCAAGTATTTCATCTCCATCTTCTGATACATACAGCAAATAATTAATATGAAAGCAACGAAAGAAAGGGAAAACAGAAACAGAGAAAGCAACATATAAAGGTGAATAACAGAGAATGTGAACAGAGTTGTGTTTGTTTCACAAGAAACACAGGAGGATTTAGAAACAACAAAGAAGAAGAAGATGATAACTGATAAGCATCTCAATAACCCATTTCCAAATTTTGATCTTCAATACGTTCCTTAAGTGTGAAAAAAAAAAATCAAATAAAACACACACACACAGAGAGAGAGAGAGAGAACCTGGAGAAAGGGAGGGAGGTAAGTGAGGAGGAGAGAGAGGCATGCTGGTTGTTCCAGGAAACATGACTGGCTTCTTGTCTTTCAACGCAAACACGCTCATTCTCACACACACATCTATGTGTATATGTAGAGGACACAAATTACACAAATTCAAAAAACAAAAAAAAAATTCCCTTCTCATCAACTATAACTTTAACCCTTTTTTTATGCATGTGTGGTAACTAAAAATTAGATATATGCAAAGCATCAGATAGTGAATATATATATATATATAACCAGATATTATAAAATGATTTAAAATACATACTCCCTTCAATATTTAATATAAAATGAAGTTTAAAAGCTTTTTATTAATAATATAAGACGACATTAAAATAATTAATGTTTTTTTAATTTTATTTTTTGTATATTTATTGTCATTTGAATTTTTAAACAACAATTTATTATAGTTATTAATTACAAAGAAAGGAAAAATTAAAAGGCTATATATATTTTTAATAATGTTAAAGATATAATTATAATTTCTTAATAAAAATGAGTTAATTAACTTCATATTATTTATAAATTATTTCAACATGTTTTATCATATTGGGTGGCTAATATCATTTGAATTAAAGCTTATTTCCAAGTTCAAAGAGTACACAAATCATTCACTAATAACAACCTGTTGATGGTGGAATTTAAGTTCAAAATCTCAAGTCCAAAATCTTAACAATTACTCTCTCTAAATCACAATATAAAACATGGGTAACTAATTTACTGTTCTCTAAAAATATTAGTCAAAAGCTTAATTTCATAAAAAATTTCACCTTTTCAATTATACCTTTATTAAATATTCTATATAAGTTTCTTGTTAACAACAATTGAAATTTTAATGCAATATTAAAAAAAAGAAATAAATAAAGTAAGGGTATAATGAAAAAAAATTAATTATACAACTTATCTAATGCTCTATATCTTGAATCAAGCAATATTTTTAGTAGACATTTGAGAGAATATTTATCAATTTACTGGTCCTCTGCTCTTCCAATTAAACACTTAAACTTGACCACAAAGCCTGAATCTCATCAATCGAATTGCTGTGTGTGTGTGTGTGTGTGTATATAAACCAATTTTACGATCTCGTCGCGATAGTTGGGTGTACATCGGACCTCCATCCCGATTGCGTGGGGAACTCAATTTCGTTAGAATAGGCTGCTTCATTAATTAATTTATTATTTGCAGATACAATCATACAAACATAGTCTGATATGTTTCAGCCAAATTTCATGTGGATATCGTTGAGTTTTACCCTTGTTGACTACTGTATGTGTCAGAGCCTTTGCGAAAATAATGCTCCTAACTTCTTATTATCAAAATTTAAAAAAAAAAAGACATTATATTAGTTTTATCAGTAAATTCAAACATTGTCGGCTACTCCCTCCGTTTTCAAAATATTAATTTTTTATATGTAATTAAAGAGTTTTAAAAAAAATACTTTTAATGAATAAACCACTCAATCATTTATCTTTAACTGAAACACTCTTTTAATTAAATAAGTAAACATGAAAAATATGATATCAATTTAAAGAAAATTGATGAACTTATTGGGTGTAACTATGTTAAAAATATCTTATATTTTTTAACAAAAGAAATGCAAATAAGTTTCAACTAACTCACACAATTTAATAATATTAATTAATTAATTCCAATAATTATATATTAAATTGATATTAAATTGAAAAGTTTGGATTAAAATATTCTTATAATTAATACTTACATATTCCTAATTTAATGATACTATCCATTTATGTATGAGGGCAATTCTAAAAAAAATGTCATGAATGTTTTTTTAAAATTTGTAGTTTTGTTTATTAAAATGTAAATCAATCATATAATAGTTTTTCTTATATTAAAAAATGCTATGACCAAGACAAATATAAATTTCTTAATATCTCTATTATAATATATTTGTAATCACCTTGTCAAAACCAAAAGTGATTAAATTATCATATATCTTTGTTTAAAAATGAAATAAATTTTTAATTTTACCCATAGTTAAGTGAAAAGTTTTTAAATGTGTGTCATATTCTCTCTCATATTTTAATTAAATCAAATGGATAATATTGAAAGAACTTAATTAATACATCCTCAAGTGACTTGTAATAAAGACTGTCCATTTGTTATATATTAAACATCGGAAGGAGTACTTCTCATTCTAATTCTATAATTTTTCCATGGCGCACAATATAAAAAATGTTGCCATATTTTTCTAATAATTAGACGTTTTTATCCCTAACCCCTTGCAAGTGGATTGGAGTGGTATGCAATACTAATCTACTTTTAATATATAAGGATAGAATCGGAAGATTGAGTGATTTTTATACCATTTTTTTATAACAATTTTTATCTTTATACTATTTTAATTTAATCATCCAACCAACTTTGATTGACTCGCGGAATTTTGTTGAAAACATCTTATCTATAAAATTCTTCCAATCGTAAATTATTTTAAAATGATATATAACAAAAAATTTAAAATATTTCCCCAGCTCTTCTACCATTGAGAGAGAGACCAATTAAGAGCTTGTTCAGACGTGAAGACGAGAGAAGCGGAGAATTCCAGGGCTGGAATTAGGAAAAGGTTTGAGAGTTCTAAGTTGAAACGGTTAGTTTAGTCGTTAGTGGATTTAATCATGAAAGCATTGAAGTAAACACGTGACGTGTGGAATTGTATTAACGGCACTAATTAACTATCTTCAATCAGGCTATGATTATCTTGATTCTTCCTCATAATAACTAAGCAAAAGATTAAGAATGAATTGCCAATAATTCCTTTAAACTATATTCCCTCAAGCATTAGAGTTCATCCCAAAAGACTAGCCTATTAAGTGGAAGAACTCCTCATACTTATAAACCTCACAATACTTGTGAGGCTTCTCGATGTGGGACTCGTGACAATGCCATCCCATCAAGAGCCAACGTCCACGGCGGCTCACACTCCACGGCACTTCACTTAGCTTTCGGCCGGTTAGAACCCTCCGTGGGTAGCCCTTTTCGTGACACCGACCTCTCAATAAAAGCACCAATGTGACGAGCACAAGCCGAAAGGAAGAGCCCATCCCAAAAGACTAGCCTGTTGGTTGGGAGAGCTCCTCACACTTATAAACCCCACAATACTTGTGAGGCTCTCATACGTGGGACTCATGACATACTCCCTCTATTCAAAAATATAAAATATTTCTTGAGTGTTTGAATATTTAAAAATATAATATATTTTTAGTATTTAAAAGTATAATCATTATGTTTTTCTTAAAAAAGAACTCCTAACAAATAAATTATTTTATATTTATTTTAAAGTAAAATATTTTATTAAATAAGAATAAATATAGAAAGATTATGTTAGTTTAAAGACAAGTAACTAATTTATTAAGATAAAATTTAATTAAAAATATTTTATATTTTTTAACAGAGAGAATACAGGTTAGCTTCTAGAAGAAATTGTTATTCATTTTTAAAATCATTTTGCATAAAAGGATGAAGTATTAATTACTTTATTTCAATTTTACCATTTTCACAATTTTTATAAGTAATTAATTTATTAAGATAAAATTTAATTAAAATTTTTTATATTTTTCAATAAAGGGAGAATGAGTTAGCTTCTTGAAAAAATTGTTAGCCTGTTTTATAAATCATTTTGCATAAAAGACGAACTATCAATTACTTATTTTAATTTTACCCTTTTCACAAATTTTTATATGTAGCATAAAATGTTTCATGTGAGAAAGAAAATATTTTTAAAGATCATGCATTTAATAACAAGAAATTAAAAAAATTAGATGATGTGAATAATTTAATTACTTTTTATTAATTTCAGTGAAATAATTAAAAGTGTTTTATATATACATATTTATATTTTTGGTGCATTCACTTGGAAAAAATTACAACTAAGATATGTAAATTTTACAATTTTCACCTCTTATTCTTGAAATTTTACACTCTCTAAGCTAAATAAAAAATATTTAAGCATGATAAGATATAAATAATATACTTATATAAAAGATCATATCAACATATAAAATATAATTTTTTTTAAAAAAATAAAAATAATAATTAATCTAATCATGTTATTTCAATTTTAGTCATAGTAAAATTATTATTTTAAAAAATTATTAATTTTTAAATTAAATTATCTTGTAGGCTATGGATCCCAGCTCCACCACTGAAAGAAGCAAATAGAGTATTTTAGCATCAATATTAAAAGTATTTTTTTGTTTTTAAAAATTATATACTTTTTTAAACAAAAAATTTCACTGTGTTTTTAATATAATTCTAGTTTTTAACAGCGCTCTCAACTAATTTAGAAAAAAAATATACTTTTCATTAAGTCTAATTAAAATAAATCTATATTTCCTTACTTTCATCTTTAAAAAATTAAAACAATACGCTGATTTTCGTTTTCATGCATGCATATTAATGTACTCCTTCCACCCTTAATTTAAGACACCTATATAACCACATCACCATAACTAATCAATAATAAGTCATTCGGTCTCTGTTTTTTTTTTCAAAATAAAAAATTTTAAAATTTTTTGGTAATAAAAAATTTTTAATTTAACTTATATTTAAATCCACATTAAAAAAGAAATCTACTTAACATTCTTTCTCATAGTTAATAATTTTGTATAAAAAATATAGTTAATAGAATTAAATGGAGGTACTCCCTCTATTAAAAATATAAGGTATTTTTTAAAAAGTTGGATGTTAAAAAATGTAAAACATTTTTAATTTTTTGAAGTGTAATCATTGCTTTTTTTTTTAAAGTGCTCCTATTGATAATGACTTTATATTTATTATAGGGTATTTTATAAGAATAAATATAAAAAGATAAGATTAGTTAAAAAAATAAATAACTATTTTATTAAAAATAAATTTAATTAAAAATATTTTATATTTTTAAATTGAGGAGAGTAATATTTTATTGATGTCTCGTGTAAAGACTTAATAATGAAGACTACCTATTCTGAGATGCGACTCATAACGTGTGCAGCACCCTTGGCCGAAAAAAAACAATGCGTGCAGCACGGGAAAGAAGGAGCA